TAGTGTTATATATGAAATGTGATATATCTCTATTGATGTTTGTTTAGAGTATGACATTTCGATTGGAAAACATATAAATCTGTTGAAAAAATATAAATGTCACCGTTAAACTTGCCTAACAATCAAACTTACAAAAATTTCAATGATTGAAAAAATATTAAAACTAGTCAGATGGTGATGTGAGACAGTTTAGGGAAAAAATTCAAAAAAACACTATAAAGATAAAAATTATTTTTATACTATGATATAACTTTATCAATTTTACATTTTTAAGTATGTCATTTTGATATAAAAGTTTAAAATATTTAAATTTGCAAGGCTCGATAGTCCAAATAATAATTTTATTTTAGGACATGTTTGTAGAGTATGAAGTTTATATATAAGTCCATACATGAATAAAGTATTTTTTTTTTTACAATATATATTATACGTATTGTTGGATTTCACAACTATAATTTTTTTTCTGGTGAAAATGAAACATGAAATTTATGTGCATTCATAAAATGCAATCTCACATGTAAATCTTGGTCATACGGTAATTCAAAAAAATACATGCATATATGGTAATAATATACTATAGATTGAAAATTATTAATATACGTAAATGGATGGCTCCATAGGGGAGTCATCCGATGATTCTATAGACTTTTTGATATGTACATACGTATACATTGAAAAATCGAGAAACATGTACAAATCGCAAAAATTGTATATTAAGTATATTTTTTCATCATTACATTTTTATTTTGCAACACTCAACAAATTGTAGCTTTCATTTATTGTGAGCTTAATAATAGAATTGGGACCAGTAATTAATCGAGATGGACTTTCAAGTTTCAACTAATCATGTACCAATCATGCTATAAATATAATAGTTCACGTAAAATTTAATATAATACATATGTACCGAAATTTTGAGGTTTTACACATCACATCCATTTTAATAAATTTAACATTTTTTTATATTTACATATCATTTATGTCATCTATTATGTTAAAAGATTATGATAGACGCATATTTCAATTATGTACCATGCAAACAAGCCAAGCCTTTTTTTTCTTTTTTTTCTTTGTTTTCATCGCACTTGATTATAACCACATTAAATTATTACCTAAAATTATATAAAAACAAGAAGGGCAGCACAAAACACACACATAGACAGATACAGGCTCACCCCACATACCTAAATTAAGGTCTCAATAATTCAACATCTTGTTTTAGTATCTACAAGAAATTGAATAAACTTGAGGCAAAACTTTATTCTGCATTTGTCCTTAAGCTACTGAAAAAAGCTGCAGGTAAGTTTTCCTTTTCCTCTCTAAATTTCGAGGATTATTTTGTTCATTATTCATGAGCTCTGTTTGATGATTCTTTAGTTGCTGTTGATTTTGAACTTGTCTTTTTTTCACCCTTTTTATGTGCTCAAGTAAAATCAAGAAAATGCTAAGGTATGCTCAAAGGGCTCTTGAGTGTTCATTTTTGTTTGCTCGTTTTTTCACTATCAAAATACCACCTATTTTTAGGTGTAACAGATTTCTGTTAAATTTGAAAAATTGAAAAAAGAAAGAAAGAAAAAAGAAAAAAGAAAAAAGCATACCAAATTAATTACCAAGTGCCTAATTGCTCTCAGATTGATTTTTTTTTAGTTCAGAAATAATTTTTGAAATATTTTTCTGGCATATGCAGGGATAATAATATATAATATCTCCAATACTGGACATGCAAAAATGGAGAACAATTGCAATAATATATCTAATTACAGAAAAAGGCTGGACAAAACACTAGAATCACCTGTCCTGACAGATGATGTAATGCTCAAAACCCTTGTCAAAAATCAAATTTTGCAGACATCCCATTTTCAATTTGAAGGTTGTTATATGTTTTCATGGTTCTGTTACATTTTGCTTTTTAATTTTATTTTTTCCCTCAGAGTTTAATTTGCTGTCTTTACTCTTTAGCATTGGTTTTATTTATAAAACTGAGCAATTCTTTGTTACCAGGAATTGAAAATGTGGTGGAAAAAAGAACTAAAGAGCTGTCTAATTTTCTTGGTATGTTGAGGAGTGCTTCGGTAGATGGCTCCGGGAGGTCGAGATCCAATGAGGAGCAGAACACCGGATGGAAGGTGTGCTCCCGTTCGCATTTTTTCGAAATTTTACTTTTGTATTGTGAAGGTCTAAGGGTGAATGATACTTAAATGTGGATAATAGTTAATCTTTCACAATATAGGTATTTATGATTTAATTACTATATAATCTTATATTATTATTTTTTTTTAGATAAAACAAGACAGTAAAGAAATTCGGGTCATGTATCGTGAAGGACCAGAGGGCACCCCTTTTCACACACTTCTTGCTGAAGGATATGTTGACGGGCCACTTGATGTTTGTAAGCCTAATTTAAAAATAAAAAATAAAAATAAAAATTGAAAACATTATTTTCTGAATAAATTTTGATATGTAACAGGTATGTGTATTTCATGGGAGTCTGCCCTGTATAAGAAATGGTAAAGAGTTTCTTTTAATTCTGCACGAGTTATTATATATGCAAATTTAAAGTAGAAAAATGCGAGTTTTACTTATTTTTTCCCAGGTGGCCTCAAATCGCAATCCCGACTTTCAGAGTCGTGTCGTCAAAATGTTTACAAAGAGTTCGAGTTGGCGAACAAATATCTTTAGTAAGGTATGCTTGCCTTGCTTGTATATTAGTTATTAGTTTACTGCTTAACTCTGCAACATCGAATATTAATAAACCATGAATTTTAATTTTTTGAGTGTTGATATTTTCGTGGTTGTTTGCAAGAAAGGATGAAGCTTTCGTGGCCGTTGTCGAGCAGAGAGGCATTGGTACATTATTTCGCGTTCGAATATTTTCAAGATGGCCTAATGGTGGTGCTCCTTAACTCGGTAAAACTCGCTTTTTTAAATGTTATTTTTGTTACCCATTTGTGTTAGAAATTGTAAACCGAAAAAAAAATAAAAATTATATATCCGTTTTCAGATTTCGGACTCGGATACTATTGATAGAATTAGTCACGGATTCACGAGGGATGGAATTCCGGAGCCGGAGGAAGTTGTTAGAATTGACGTGGTCGGAGGTTTTGCTTTGCAGAAGGTGAACGAGAACAGGAGTTACTTCCGGTGAGTGTTATATTGGTAAAAATGTATTTTTAGCCCTGTTAGTTTATAACATAGTTTAATGTTATAGCAATTTTAGTCTCAAGATTCCAACTTTTTGCCTTTTTGGTCTTGTGATTTTATTATTATTATTATTATTATTATTATTATTATTATTATTATTATTATTAGTATTATTTTTGCAATTTCATTCCTTTAGTTGCAATTTCAATTTAATTTACATGACTTGAATTGATAATTGAAATCTAAGAATTTGAGAATTTGTTGCCATTCAGTCCTCAAAGGACCGAAATTGCAGCAAAATATTAATCAGAGGATTAAAAAGCAAAATGTTGGAACCCTGAACTAAATTGTTATGCATTAAACCAATGGAATTAAAAATGCAATTTTGCAGAGTTTTATTTTTCTTTTCTTCAAGTCATTGTTTTGTCGGCATATATCTACATTTAGTTTCGATATATTTGCGGTAAGGCTATATACAATTCGAGCTAAGTGAAGATATACATTTACTTCTAGCCAGGGACGGATTTAGATGTATCATACGGGGGGCAATTGTCCCCCCCAATTTTTTTACTTTTTGTTTTATATAATACACATTACTACCTAAAATATGTAACACATATCACAATCATATTGAATTTATACATGTATCCCAAAATTATTACTAACTATTAGTATGGTCTATCTAATAATCCTTTATAACTACATTAAATCTTTTAAGTAAATTCATACCCTCTTCAAATGTAATATTTGGTATTTTTTCTTTTATATTATAGAGCTTAAATTGAAGTGAATGTTGAAATATTAAAGTCCAAAACTTATATCTTTTTTAGAGCATATTTATTATTTATTTTATTCATTTTATATTACAATTTTATGTCATATATATACATAAATGTGTGATATATTAAAAATTATATATTTCGTCTGAGGTGTTAAGATAAATACCTCATGATGAAGCTCAAGTTTGTCTAATAAAAGAATCATCCTAGCTTCACTCATTTAATAAACGAACGAAAATGTGAGCTTGAGCTCGTTTCATTTAATAAACAAATTCAATTAGTTTTTCATCTTAGCTCATTTAAATATATAAACAAGATGGTCATACTTTCATTGGTCAAATCGAATTTGTTCACAAACAATTCATCTTCGAAAACAGTTGCAGTCCCCCTAAAGAAAAATCTCTGGATCCGCCCCTGCTTCTAGCTAAGCTTCGAAAAATTGTTTTCCATGTTATATGGATTTTTTTTTTTTTATCGAATTGTGCTTGATACTTTTCGAGTGCTCTCATTGTTTTTTCATGTTGTTTTTGTAAGGACGATAGCAAACATGGATATCAAGCTCGACTTTGTGCCGCCAGCATTCATCAACTTCGTCTCTAGGCAACTCATAGGGAGTGGCTTCAATCTCTATAAAAAAGTTAGTAATAATTTACCAAATTTAAACTATTCTTTTGGTTTAATGTATATAAACCATTTGATGTATCTGGAAAAAAAAATTACAGGCAGTTGCTTCAATTGTTTCTAAAGGCGACAAAGAATATCGTGAGGCTTTGGAGGGCCCACTATACAAACAAATGCGCGGATCTCTTTATTCTACCGAGTCTAAGTACGTGAATAAAATCGAGTATTCCAAAGAAGACAATGCAGAAGGACACGAATCATTATTCGATGATCGTGCCAAGAAAAAGTCGGTAAATTTTTCAACTGATGATCAAATTACTGAAGATGTTACGGCCGATGATAAGGAAACTGTTAATGGAACATATAACAAAATTACGGAAAATTACGAACCCGGGATTAGGGAAAATGTTGCTATAATTAGTCCAAAGGTGAAACAAGCTCTCGACACATTGGAAAAGGCGATTTTGCTATTTCATAAGAACAACATTAGCCCTGTCGAGGATTTGGGGAGAAAAAAAATATGAAGCCGATCAAATGAGTGAAAATTACGAATCCCAGAATCATCTAGTAAGAATGGCGCCATAATCAGGAAGGATTGGGCAAATTAAGGATTGATCCAAAATGACTAGAAAAGTCTGAAAATCGAGGTTTTAATGTCCATTCGTGCTTTTCATGTTGTGTCGTGTAAAAGATGATACATGAAAATGGTATATATGAGATAATTAAAAATCCATTTATGTATTACGTGAAACGAGCCGTTGGTGAATTGGACTTGCTAAGGCTTGAATTGATTCAATTCATTTAATAAATGAGTAGCATTCGAGCTCATTTAACAATTTACTTAGTCAACAGTCAACTAACTCGACTCGAATAGTTAAATTTTGAGAAATAAGTATTTTTACGTAATTTTTTAAATTATTACGAAATTTATTAAAATTAATAAGCAAGTATAGCTTAAACTCATTAACTGAGCTCATTTATATGAACCGAGTTATTCATGAATTCAACTTGGTAACGCTTGAATTGGGTTCAATTCCTTTGATAAATGTCGAGCTCATTTAACAATCTATACTTATATAATAAGGTGTACCATTTACAAAATTTAGTAAGTTAAAAAGTCAATGCAATAAATGCATTACTATTTTGAGCAACATAATATAATATCATATCTATACTTATATAAAATGATATTCTATTTACTACATTTACTATCTAAAAAAGTCAACTGCATTAAATGTCATTACTATTTTGGTATTATAATATTTTATTTATTTAATTGATTTATTTATTTGTTTTATTTTAAAAAAGTAAGTATAATAAAAAGATTTTAATAAAAAAAAATCAAATACCAAATAAAAATGTAAACTTTGACTTATTTGATTATATTTGGTATTTGATTATAACAAATATATTCCTATTTAGTATATACAATAAATACTTACTAAAGTATTTATTTGTTTTATTTGTCAAAGTTAAGTATAGATTTGTTTATATTATCAAATCATAACAAAAATATTAAATCTATATTGTAAAAAAAAAAAATCATATAATTTTATAACAATTTTACTACACTATGTAACAATATTCCTTTTTTATTATATAATAAAATAATAATTAAATATTATATGGTGAACAACAATAAGTAAAACTGTTACTTTCTCTTATATCAAGGGATAAATTTATATGCTAAAATTAAATTTTTATTAGTATAAATATCTTATTGAGATAATATATTAATTATTTTACAAGCTAACCCTAACATGCTCATATTTAATGTTTTAAAAGATGTAGAAAAAAACTTATAATAACTCTATTGTTTTTTAGACTTAAACGTTGATTAAAAGAGGTAAAAATTCCTAATTTTTTAGACTTAAACGTTGATTAACACCATAGATTGAGAGTTTATATTTAGTAAAATTCCTAATTGTAATAAAAAAATTAATTTTTGCTATATTTTAGAATATCTTTAAATTCATTATAAAAAAAAAAAAAAAAAAAAAAACTACAATGAAAAAAGCAAGTCGGCTATATATCGATTTGTTGTACTCCTCAAATCACATTCACAATTTGGCTATAAGGAAAGGAAACTCATTGATTAAAATATTATTTTGTCAGTAGTCTTATTGTACAAGAGACTTTAAGACTCCACTTGAATATTATAAAACTTTTATTGAACATTGTACAATTTTCTTGCGTATTATAAACTTTTATTGAATATTGCATCTTATAATATAATATTCTCTAAATAAATATATCTCGTGCTTCGCACGGGTCACGTACTATATATATCCCGTACATTTTTCTTTATTCATGTATATAATTATAAACTTGGATAAATAGCCTTAAAATTGTGCAACCCATGCATCGCACGGGCTCTGTACTAGTTTGCTTAATCAACTAACTCGACTCGAATCATTAAGTTTCAAAAAATAAAACTTTTACGTAGATTTCCTAAATTATTACTTATGTTAAATATCGAATTTATTAATTTTAATAAGTGAGTCGAGCTTAAATTTGATAACCGACTCCATTAGTTAACGAGTCGATTCCGATAAAAGCTCGTATACAATACAATTTCATAAAAGGCGGTTTGTCGATTGCCATACGAAATTCGCAAAACTCACAGAACTTTCTACAGAGATCGGAAAATAGCACCATCCACAATGGGCTGGCTGTGGAAAAACGACGGAACTGACAACGTCTCGTCTTCCTCCGGCGACCACGGCGGAGACCACCGCGCCACCAGGAAGGTGGTGTCCTCCCAGTGCCGCACGGAGGAGGTGGAGCCTGGGAAATTCATCCGCAAGTGCGAGAAAACGGAGCAGATCTTTAAGGACTGCATCGGAAGGTAAATTTTTTGAGTCGTTGCTGTTCAGAATCGTATTTTCGTTTTGTGCTGTGATATCTCGTGGGTTTCAATTTCTGGGGCTGTATATGCCAGATTGATTATAGATACTGTCAATTGAGTATGTTCATTATCAGATTTGTCTTGTATTCAATTTCTGGAGCTGTGTATGATAAATTGATGATAGATTTTGTCAATTGAGTATGTTGTTCATTATCAGCTTTGTCTTGCAAATTAATTTTGCTTTTGCGAATGGGCACAGTTGATCCACATACACCCTTGTAGGTGTGTATGTGTGTGTGTGAGATCCAACCCCAAAAATCCTAATGAGGGCAGGATCGAACCTTTCCCGTTTCATTTGTACACGTTTATCCGGTAGGGATGGAGATGAATCTGCTTGAAAATGATGCAAATACACTGACTTTTAGGGGAAATAATGTAGAATTGTTTGTGGGTTTTTCCTAGTGTTGGTGCTTTTTGTTAGCTAAAATGTAGTTCAGATTTTTGAGTGAGAAGTTTAGGGTAGCTGGAGATGAGGATGATAAGCTTTGAAAAGATAAGCAAGGAAATACTGTAACAATAGGGGACAAGTTGGAGTTTAGGATGGAAGTTGAAAGTAGTGATCAAAGCTAGTGACATTTGTGAACTAAAAGGTTAAACTTCTGTAAGAACATGTATCATCCTACACTCGGCAGGTCAAAGCGAGCCATTGGGTCAAGTGTGTGTGTGTGAACGAACAGTTTGGAACCAGTGCCCATATTGGGAGGATCGAATTAGCTTACTGGCAGATTCTGAGTTTTTAAGCTGAAGATATGATTTGCAGAATGGGAGGACCGATAAATCTTCCCAGTCCTTTGCATCTGAGCAACTTTTTCTAGCTAAAAATGCCGAGCTAGAGCAACATGAAATGATCTACTTTTTCTTAAACAAAAAGCTTGAGAGTCGAAAAAGGCGGTAGTCTGTCGAAATCAGTGAAGTGAATCACATCACATAAATTTTAATGGATGAGTATTTACACACAACACTTTGTTAACAACGAGTTGTGTGTTTGCAGAGTATCGAATGTCATAAATTCCAATAAATCTTGTTTATTTTACTTAATAGTTGATTTCGAGGTTTGAGCAAATAATCATCTGTCTTTACATTTTCTTTCTTAAATTTAGGCCAAGTGAGATGGTACAATCTACCAAAGAATACACAGAAGAGGATGTGACAGAACAAATGACCAAAGGCCCATTCCCTTCGGAATCTTATTTCCCGGGTCTACGTCGTGACATTGAAGGCATCGAGCAAGACTTGTTTGGAGGCATGAGCCGTTTTTTCGAGGCAGCCGAGGATTTGAAGAACGAGTTCTTCAGCTCGATTGGTGTACCAAAACGCCCTTCATCTGGCGAGCGTGGGATTCACGTCGAGGGTTCCCCTCAACAGGAAGCTCTTCCGAGTAATGATAGTGGTGTAGATGGAGATGTCGATCTCTCTAGTTTGGCGAAAGATGTTTGAATCAAAATGAATTTTGGATTTTAGTTATAGTTTATGTTTATGTAGAATGAAAAATCGAACCGAATCTCAATCGCGCCATTGTAAATCCTTAGACGGTATATTGTGATCTTTTTGCTTAGTGTGAAATGGAACCTCTCTCATTTTACTAGATGCTTGTTTTGAGCACCTCTAAAGATTCATGTTGAAATTCTCGTAAACATCTATTATTTGGAAAACACTTCTTGTATAAGTCAGCATAATCATTTGACGGGTCGAATGTCATATTTAAAAATCATAACAAACATGCATATCTGTTGAAAAGGGTCGAACGTCATATTCAAAATGCATAACAAACATGCATATCTGTTGAAAAAGAATGATTGATTAACAGCCTCACTGTTCAGAAAATGAACTTTTAGATCCAATTGTCCGTTCAAAAAGTTTCAAAATTCCTTTTTTTGGATAGGGGTTGAGATTCATTAGATTTTGGATGTTTGTAGAGTTTAAAATAGATTTTCTTGGGTTTATTTGACTCTTGCAGTTTCTAGTGCTCGGCAAGTACTTGGTGTGGGTGCACGTTGTGACCCGGCTTGCTCAACAACCCTTT